GGGTGTTTCTTCATAAATGTTACCAGCCTGGACTGTGTTCCTCACCATTGCTTGGTGCCAGTAGAGGGGTAGGATGTTCAGGGAAGACTAGCACCTCTGGTGTGAGGGCTGCTGAACCCTTTTCAAGGCTACTCATCCACCTTTGGTGCCCACCTGATTTACCCAACTCTCATCTGTGACTCCAAGAAGCTGTAACATGCACAGTGACCACATCCCAATAAACTATTTTGGCAGATGGGCTAAACCAGGTTGAGGGTAAATGAGGTGTCTCAAACCTGTCAGTGAGTTAGGGGGTGTCTACCCAAAGACTTCCCCGGCTGAATGGACAGATGAGAACAATTTGTCCCAACAGCCATGAAGAGCACTGAAGCAGGCACTGTGGAGTGCTTAGAGCTTGGTTAGACATTAAAGATGCCAATGTCATATACTACGTCCTGAGCCATCACCAGCCATCCTGACTTTTGTCTTGCCACTGGACTTCAATGACTTTGGAAGAGAGAGTGAGACTGATGACTTCATGCAACTCTGCCTCCCTTGAATTCAATTTATGCCTGAATCAAAAGACAATACCCTTACCATTTTGCCATTTTTACCCATCTCAAAGTCTTGTGGTGACAGGTAAGTAATGAAGCAGTAGTTGTGGATACAGCAGGAGCTGTAGTAACAACCCTGCACACAGGCAACCTGAGCCATAGGGTTGTCTTCTCACTGGACTGAAGCAGCAGTGGGATTCAGCAGCCCCTGGGTTTTTGAGCACCTTTTTAAAGGACTGCACTATTTACCTCCTGGCATGAAGAAGGGACTAGAAAAGGTACCCTAAATTTTGTCTGCTTCAGCCAACCCTGACCTGCTTGCCATGACTTGTCATCCCACCCTATAGTTGAAACACAAAAAGATGTACAAAAACTTTTGTGAAGATGATTCAACTCATCATCAATACATGGAATGTGCACATGCTTATGGACAACACGAAATCCAGTAGAACTGAAAGATGAATAGCTCTTGTTGCAAGAGAACTCAGAAGGTATTGCATCCAAATAACAGCCCTGAATGAAACAAGGCTAATAAATCAAGGGCAGCTTACCAAAGCCATAGCTGGATACACATTTTTCTGGAGTGGCTGCAGTGATGCGAAGTGCCATGAAGCTGATGTTGGTTTTGCAATCAAAATTAATCTAGTCAACAAGCTTGTATGCCTACCAAAAGGAGTGAATGACAGGCTCATGACAATGTGATTGCCACTTGCAGAAAAGTGCCATGCCACCATATAATGGAGTCACATTGATTAGTGATAAGGACAAGATTCTGTTTTCCCAGCAGTTTTTTTCAAAGAGTGGGTTCTTATCCCAGAAGCTGGGGTCTTTGGGTTTATCAAATAGTAGATTACTAATAGTCATTGACCACTGTGTTTTGCATATTTAACCTATTCCACTGATCCACCACTCTATTTCTTATCCAGTACCAAGCAGTTTTGATGATTACTGCTTTATAATACAATTTAAGATCTGGAATGGCTAGGCCACCTTCCCCTGCATTTCTCTTCATTAGTTCCCTTGTTATTCTGGACCTTTTCTTCTTCCAAATGAATCTTGTTATTATTTTTTCTAACTCTATAAAATAATTTTTTGGTAGTTTGATTGGTATGGCACTGAATAAGTAAATTAGCTTAGGTAGAATTGTCATTTTTATTATATTAGCTCGGCCTACCCATGAGCAACTGATGTTTTTTCCAATTATTTAGATCTGACTTTATTTGTGTGATAAGCATTTTGTAATTGTGTTCATATAGTTCCTGGGTTTGTTTCGGGAGGTAGACTCCTAAATATTTTATAATGTCTACAGTAAGTTTAAATCTTTTTCTATCTCTTGCTGTTGGGCTTTGTTGGTAATATATGGAAATGCCAATGATTTATGTGGGTTTATTTTATAGCCTGCAACTTTGCTGAAGTTGTTTACTATTTCAAGTAGTTTTTACTTGATTCTTTAGGATTCTATAAGTATATCATCATGTCATCTGCAAAGAGTGATAGCTTTGTTTCTTCTTTGCCTATTCTAATGCCTTCAATTTCTTTTTCTTCTCTTATTGCTAAAGCTAATGTTTAAAGACATGATTCTGGAGAGATGGGCTGAACACTTCATTGGTGTTCTCAACAGATTATCAACTACTGCTGACGTCGTTGACTGTATACCTCAGATTGAAGTCAGTCCCTCTCTAGTCAAACTTTCAACTGAAGAAGAGTCTTTGAATGCTATTGGGCTCCTCTCCTGTGGCAAATCGCCTGGTGCTGATTCTGTTCCAGCTGAGATTTTCAAGGCAGGAGGTCCGCTGCTCATTTAAAAACTGGTGGAAATTTTTGAGGTTGTATGGCAAGAGAAGGTTATCCCCCAGGAGTTCAAGGATGCCTCCATTGCCCATCTCTATAAAGGAAAGGGAAATAGGTTGTCCTGTGGCAGCCACAGAGGCATCTCTCTTAGTCACTGATGGCAAGATTCTTGCCAGAGTCCTCCTTAATAGGCTGTAAGATGGTCATCTACCTGGGAGCCAATGTGGCTTCAGAAAAGGGCTGAGGAATGGTTGATATGGTGTTTGCTGCTCAATGACTCCAGGAGAAATGCCAGGAACAGAACAGAGGACTGTATACAACATTCTTTGATCTAATAAAGGCATTTGATGCTGTTTGTCATGAGAATTCGTGGAAAGTTATGGCAAAATTTGGTTGCCTGGAGAAGTTCATTAGTATTGTATGTCAGTTTCATGACAGCATACTTGCGTGAGTTCTGGATAATTGACAATGCTCTTGAGCTTTTCCGGTCACCAGTGGAGTGAAGCAGGGCTGTGTGCTTGCTCCCATGCCTTTTAGCATGATGTTTTCAGGGATGTTGTTGGATGCTTTCAGTGAGGACAAAAACAGCATCAAGGTCAGCTTCTGCACTGATGGTAAATTATTTAACTTGAAAAGGCTACATGCCAAGACTAAAGTGGGAGGAGAGTTGGTGCATGATTTTTTGTTCAATGATGATTGTGCACTCAGTACAGTCTCTGAGGCTGAGGTGCAGCAAAGTATGGATCAATTCTCTGCTGCTTTTGCTAATTTTGGCCTAACAATTAACACCAAGAAACAGAGGTTTTCTACCAACCATCTCACATCATCCATGAATGGAACCATACAGGAGGTGGAGAAATTTTGAATGCTCTTCGTAAGTTCATTTATCTTGGCAGTATACTTTCCAGGGATGTCCACATAGATGATGAAGTTGACATATGCAGTGCCAGTGTTTGGGAGGCTCCAAAGGAAAGTGTGGGAGAGAAGAGGTATTAGACTGCCTATCATACTGAAGGAAGGCCTACAGAGCTGTTGTGCTGACCTCATTGTTGGACAGTGTGCCAACCTGGACAGTATGCCAGTGCCATGTCAGGAAATGGAATCACTTCCATTTGAATTGTCTTAGGAAGATTCTGAAAATCACCTGGAAAGAAGGTGCCAGACACTGAGGTGCTTTCTCAAGTTGAACTGATAAGCATTCAAACTCTATTGCAGCGAACGCAACTCCAGTGGGTTGGTCACATTGTTCAAATGCCAAACATATATTTGTCTAAAAGACCATTTTACAGAGAACTCACACAAGGCAAGCGCTCACACAGAAGTTAGGAGAAGCGATACAAGGACACTCTTGAGGTCTCTCTGAAGAACTTTGGAGTTGATTATGAGATATGGGAGACACACCCAGCACAGGACCACCCAGCATGTTGTGCCTTCATCAGAGAAGGTGCTGTGCCTCAAAGGAAATGGGAGGTATGCATTTAGAGACATCTCCATTTCAAATGTTCATCTGGACTATGTGTGCCCGCTCTGTGGTAGTCTTCTGAGCTTGTATTGGTCTGATCAGCCACAGTTGGATACACTGTATCTCGACCCCCAAAATAGTGATGTTATTTTGGTCCTTTTTGAGAACAAAGAAAAGCCACCAGCTTCCAGTGACTAGCTCCCCGGTTCTATTTTAACACTTAACATCAATAAACTTTAACAAAGGGATATTTGCTTTGAAGATATCATAAGAACAAAGTACAAACCTTTTTTCCCAATACTTGGGGCCCCACTCTTAGCTCAGTTCTGATGCAACACCGGTCCTACCAAGTTCGTGTCTAAAGGTGGCACAGCTGCCAGATGAGTTCTTGCCTCAACTACCGTTGGGTTGGGTGCTAAAGGTCATTCCTTGCTCCTTGACGCTGTGCTGGTTTCAAAACTGGATTCTAGAATTCCAGGATGCTGAGACTTCCTCCTGACCATCGGAGAGTCACAAGATCTGAGGCTCTAATCTCTTCTCCAAAATGGGCAAAGAACAAAGGCTGAGGCCTATTTCTCACGGGGCCACATCTTGGCCTTGATGAGGGGCCTAAGGTTTCCTTTCTCACAGTAGTGTCTCTCCCCTGATGTCATGAGTGAAGTAGTCCAACCACAGGGTATTAGAAAGGACTGAGGCAAGACACAGGCCAAAGATGACTCAGGGTCTTTGAATGCCTCTGCAGCCAATTAAAACGAGCCTCCCATTCAGTTTCCAAGGTTAGAGCCTATTGGAACCAGTTAACAGAATGTCTACTTATGCTTCCCAGAGTCTTTGCAAAACACTTCCACTTCACATCGTTAGAACTGTCCTAGAAGCGGGTTCCCCAGCCTTTCCACATGCAGAGATGCTAACCAAGGCACTCTGCACATGTATCAGACCCCTTGTATACAAGCAACCTCCCAGCTCTGACGTTCTGTTGTCTAAGGGCCTTTCATTTATCCGAAATGTTATGTTCTAAGCTCCCTCCTAGCTCTGACATTCTTTGTTCTAAGATCTGTAGGAGTTCTGACATTCTGTGTTCTAAGGCCCCTCTGAGCTCTGACATTTGATGCTCTATGCCCAAGGCTCCTCCTCGGTCTGAAATTTTATGTTCTAAGGGCCTTTTCTGCTTTGACATTTTATGTTCTCTATTCTAAGGTTCTTTCTGGTTCAGAAATTCTTATTTTAAGGCTCCCTTCTGATCTGATATCCCTTGTACTAAGTTTCCTTTCAGCTCCATGGTTCCAAAACAAGGACTTCCCATCACTTTACCCAGTACAGACCCTCTGCCAAAAGGTAAAATTCTATTTAATGTCCTTGATTTTCATTTTTATTCTTTGCCAATTCTCTGACCTTTCCAGGCACACCTCATGTTGCATTTGTTACTGGGAGCTCAATAAAATACTTTGTGTTGTGTCCCTAGGACACACACTGTGGCATTCATACACACACACACACACACACACACACACACACACTCACACACTCTTTGAGGCATGCTTCACAACAGGTATATGGTAGCTCTCTAGGAGAGCTTAGCAATAACACCCACTTCATCACCTGGTCCAAGCATTGAACAGGAGCTGAGGTCACTGCAAGCTAAGCAAACCCTGCATGCCAAGGACTTAACAACAGTTAAGGGAGGCAGAGAGGGAAGAGAATAGTAAGAAACGTTTCTTTCTACACAGCTGAGCCCATGGGGACAGGCAGCCAGAGGAGCATGGGTGTTGGAATACTTGCTGGGTGAGGTTTAAGGTTTATTTTATTAAATGTTAAGAGGATATTAGGGAGCAACAGTGATTCTAACAACTTTGCATTTCAGGCTTTGGGGTCCTTAGAACGTGGTATTTTTAAGAAGTAAATGTTTATTGCAGGCTTTCAGGTTGCATTTTTTCTTTTTCTTTTTTTCCAATACATGTAAAGACAATTTTCAACATTCATTTTTTTTATTTTGATTTCCAAATTTTTCTCCCTCCCTCCTTCTCCTCCCTCCTCCCCGATACAGAAAGCAATCTGATATGGGTTATACAGGTGCAATCATGTAAAACGTATTTCCACATTACTCATAATGTGAAAGAAGAAACAGAACAAAAGAAAAAAGCCATTAAAAAAACACAGAAAAGTGAAAATAGTAAGCTTCAATCTTAGGCTGTATTTTTAAAATGTATTAGCTACCTTCCTCTAGATTTGTTCATTGGAACTGCAAATGGTGCTCTGCCAGGGACTTTGATTTGTCCTGACTTCACCTAAGGAGAAAACTGAGGCACAAGGAAAGGAAGGAACTGGCTCATTGCCAGATGAGTAAGAGGCAGAGCGGAGAATTGGACCCAGGAGTCCTGACTGCCAGCTCCATGATCTGGCCATTAGTCAGTTCTGTAGATGGACAGAAGAGTATGTCCAATAACCCCGAGCTCCAATTGCTTAGTTAATCATTTTCACATTCATTATTAATGCTTGGTAATGAAAACCTGATCAGATAGAAGGCCAGCCTTGGACCTCACTTAGAGGAAGGACTGAACATAGTCCTTGAAAATGAAGAGGTGATTGTGGGGGAGGGAGAGAGAGGGATGGGATCATTGAATTAGTCAGAAGGGATCTTAGAGTGCAGCTAGTGACTTGCTATTAGTCCAACTCTCCACACCCCCGCCCCGTGGGGTGTCAATCCTATTCTGCAGCGTCCTTCACAGGTCTTTATGCTACTTAACAAACGATAAATAATAATCATTAGCTAGCATTCAAGGTTTTCTAGTACTTTATATAAGTTGTCTCATTTGATTCTCACAACCACCCTGGGGGTAAGTGCTAGAATTACCCCCATTTTGTAGATGAGGAAACAGAGGCTGAGAGGGGGCAAGTGCTCGGAGTCACACATTTGAATTCAGGTCTTCCTGACTCTAAGTCCAATGCCTTATCCACTTTGCCACCTACTTGTTTCATCCGGTGAGAAGGAATTGGTTACCCTCCCCATTCCATTGTTGGACATTTTTGTTTTAGACATTCCTCGTGATAATGAACCAAAATACGCCCATCATAACTTTTACCCACTACCCCAACTCTATCAGCTAGGGCCAACCGAAATGCACTTAATCCTCCACTTCTTTCTTTCTTTTTTTTTTTTTTTTTTGGGTAGGCAATGGGGTTAAATGACTTGCCCAGGGTTACACATCTAGTAAGTGTTATGTGTCTGAGTACGGATTTGAACTCAGGTCCCCCTGAATCCAGGGCCGGCGCTATATCCACTCCGCCACCTAGCTGCCCCTATCCTCTACTTCTTAACAGCTGACCTAGTCAGTCAACATTATATTTTAAATTCTGACTATGCGCAGAACTAGATGGCAGCTTGGAGTAATAGACAGTTTGGCCTTGGAGTCAGGAAGACCTGGGTTTGAGTCTTGCCTCTGAGACATACTGGCTGTGTGACCTTGGGCAAGCCACAATTTCTTGTTGCTTTAGGAAATTTTCTGAGAAAATAAATTGCAGAGCAGGTAGTGATTTCATTTGGCAGAAGGAGTTTCTTTACTGCGAGTTTCCTCTGTTTAGGGCTGGTCCAATGCATAGAGTGGGCGGCTTCTAAGTCTTAGGGGCCCTTCTCATATTAACATTCAATATTCTCTATTCTATGTTCTTTGGGAGGCTCAGTCTTACAGAGGTTTATTGTTGTGTGCTAGAGGTGGGTGGTGCTTAGATGAGATAGGGGAGAATTAAAGAAGAAGAAAAATCAAGATGGGTTTCCAGAGAGTGGGTGCAGAAAAACAGTATGTGATTGAGGATAGACCTGGCCCTTAGGGCTCTATGATTTGGGTTCTTCTCTTTGGAGCGAAGCAGTACTTTGGTGGTGGGCAAGAGGCTCAAGTGTGAGGGAAAGAAGATGGCTTTCCTGGTGGGTAAGAAAAAAGATGAGGGACTCGCATGCATACAGTTGATTCCCAGTAGAAAGAGAATTGGACCAGTTAGTGGTCATGAGACCTAGATTCTTCTGGCTCTGTCACTAACCTGCTGTGTGGCCTTGGAAAAGTTGTTTCACTTGGTTGAGTCTCAGTTTTCTTAGTAAAACGGTAGAGCCCCTTTTGGCTCTGACATTCTGTGTTCTAAGGCCCTTCCCAGCTCTGATAGTCTATAATTCAAGTCACCTCCACTGAAACTCTTCAATCCTGCCCTTTCCTTGACACTTTCCCACTTCAAGACTTCCCTTGATGTGAAATCATTTTAGCCAGATATCATATTGATCATAATGGGGCAGCGGAGGAGAAGGGGAAGAGGGGAAAGGAAACTCCAACATGATTTGCTGGGGTTCTTAGGATCACCTTACACAGAGCCCTAAAGTAGACTATGAAGAATTAGTAGGGAAGTTGAGAACACAAACACTGCCTTTAAGGATACCAGTGAGGTGGAGATGGGGTAGGTAGTAATTGCAGATACCCAAGAAAACAAACTTGGAAACATTAAAAACAATCTGTGAATAGCTTTATAGAAGTGTTAAGGGGGATATTGGTCAGAGGGGAGAGGGTGGAGCAATCACCAACCATAATCCCCTCCTCCCCTTCCCAGGACCCTTGAAAACCTGTGCAGTGTGAGCCTCTGATGTCCTCAGGTCACCTCATGACGGATCCTTACCTCAGAACTCCAGTGTTGGTATACGGGAGGCTCAGGGCTCTGTGTGTCTCCAGACAGCAGTGACTCTAATAGGGAATTGCCAGCTGGTTTAATTACCCAGATGGGAAGTTGGCTGTGACAAACCCATCTCCGAAAGGATTAATGACTGCATTATCTTCATGGGCAGTCATTTGTCTCAGAACAAACTTCGTAGATATAAGTTGGAAATAGACTCTTGTATCTGAGAGAGTGGGGAGAACATTCTTTATTGTCTCACAAAGGAAATTCACTTCCACCCTTCCCCGCCTTTCCCAAAAATCTCAGGAAAATCTGACATTAATTCAGAAACCATTTTGATTTTGCAGAAAGGACTTGGCTCCAGGTTTCTTTAAGTTGAATTTTGTCACTGTGGGGTTTTCATCATGTCAGGTAATTTGCATGGTTGATCAAGGCTTAGAAGCCTTTAGCAAGTGACTTTAGACAGTGGTGGTGATAATATAGTGGAAGGGAAAAAAGAAAAACATATATTAAGCACCTACTATGTTCCAGGTACAGTGCTAAGTCCCGGGGATACAAAGAAAGATAAAAGATACTACCTGCCCTGAAGGAGCTCCCAATCTAACATTAAAATAAGCTGAAAAAGGGGGGTAGTGGGAGAGAAGGAGGGCATTCTGTAAGGGGGAAATAATGAAGTTTCATTTCCTACCTGCAGCCAGATGGGAATTGATGATGTGGCTTCCCTGGGCTTCTTCCTTAAATAGAGGATCTGGAATGCCAGTGTCCTCCCTCCACCCTCACCAATCAGAGAGAGGGAGGAGTCCAAGGGGAAAGGGGTACTGAGGAGGTGTGAGGTACAGAACTAATCTGATCTGTCAAGAAGAGTTTCTGGAGACAATGATGAAGATAAAGTGACTTTCCTAGGGTCATGTAGCTACTAAGTGTTTGAAGCCAGATTTGAATTCAGGTTTTTGTGACTTGAGGCACAGGGTTCTATACACTGGGTCACCTAGACTTGAAGGGAAGGGGAAGGGAAATCTCAAGTATTGAGTTTAATCCTCTGGTTCTGTCAGTTGTTGTGTGACCTTGAGAAAGTCACTCCTCTTCTTCGGGTCTCAGGTTCCTTCACTGGAAGATAAGAGGGATGAACTGGATGGACAGGAGAGAATCAACATAGTATTATGGAAGGAACAAGAGATCTGTAGTCAGAAGACCTGGGGTCATATTCCACCTTTGATATTTACTACCTTTGTGAACTTGGGCAAGTCACTCACTTAACCTACTTGGGCCTCAGTTTTCTCATCTGTAAAAATGGGGAAGTTGTACTAGAAGGTTGTTGAAATCTCCTCCAGTTTTACATCTATGATCTCTAAGATTTTTTAAATTCTTGCATTTCATATTCTAATACTTCATCCAGCTCTAACATTCAATTTGATTAAAATTGGCAAACATTGATTAATCAACTATTATATTCAAGGAACTGTGGTAGGAACTATTGTCAAAGGTCCTTTCCAATTCTGGCATTTTGGGGTCCAAAGTCTCTCAGCTCTCACATTCTATTTTCTAAGGTCTCTCAAGCTTTGACATCCTATGCTTTCAGGATCCTTCCAGCTCTAATGTTTTAGAAGTGCTTGAGACCTCTCTGGACAGAATTGGAAGACGTTAATTAGGGAATGATTTTTTTTCCCCCATTAAGGATAAGGAGAAAGGCAGCAGTGAAGCTGTGAACTATGCAAAGAGATGAGCAGACAGATGCTTCTTAGGGGACTCAGAGGGACTGGCTGCAAAATGAATTTGAGATTAGAGGAAACAGGTTCATTTCTTAGGGTCCAGGCAATATTTCCTAGAAGCTAAGAGATTCTGAGACAGAATTTACATTAGTAGAGAAAAGTGACTTGTTGGCTGTATAACCTATTTTTTTTTCTAGATGTAAGTCAGTTTCTTACAGGAAACATTTATTTAAGAAAACAAGAGCCTTCAAAATTTCAATGCATTTAATAATATCAGGTATTCTTATCTCCTCTTTTTTATCTTCTCTTCCAACAGGATTTCCAGCCTCCTAGTACACATTCCTTCACCACCACCACCACCACCACCACCATGGCAGGTAAAAAATGAAATGACTGAGGAAAACAAAGGTTCCATTTTCTCAGCATATCAATTTATTAAGCAATGCATGCCAGTTGCCTAACAAAGTGGCACCAGACCTCTTCAGCTTAGTCCTGGACCCTGAATATAGGGGGAGACACTTTTATACATTAAAAACAATTAAATAAGACCCATAAATTAAAATAAAACAATACAACATTAGGTAATCAGATTCCTAATTGGATGATAAATTAGGGACTTTCCAAGTTGGGAGAAAGAGATTGAACAGGTGCAATTCCCTGAAGTCAGAAAAGGAAATGTCTCACTCCCCAAACTGCCTGTGAACAATCAAAGGAACAGGTGAATAATAACTGATTGATCAGTATGAGCTCAGTTTTCAGATAAGATGTATATATATTGCTTGAGATGTACAATTGTGAGAAAACTCTTTGCACCAATCTTTGAATTTTCTGGTCAGCATAACCTAGGTCAAGGTTATTTGTTTGTCCAATGAGATAGTTTGCATTTTCTTCTGTTTTTTCCGTCTATCGACTTTAATTGTTTCTTGATGTCTTATGGAGTCATTACCTTCCACTTGACCAATTCTGCTTTTTAAGTAATCACTTTCTTCATTGAGATTTTGTACCTCTTTTCATAATTTTCTTGAATTTTTCTAATTTCTTTTCCCATTTTTTCATCTACCACTTCAATTTGATTTTTAAATTAAATTTTTTTGCTCTTTTATTCAATCTCTTTCTTTGGCTCTTCTAGGAATTCTTGTTGGTCTTATGTTCAATCTGGATTTTTTTCCTTTGAGGCTTTGCTTGTAGATGTTTTCAAGTCATTGTCCTGAGTTTGTGCCTTGAGCTTCCTTGTCTCCATAGAAACTTTTTCTTTATTTTATTTTTTTAGTAAATAGTATTTTATTTTTTCCGATTACATGTAAAGATAGTTTTCAAAATTCATTTTTTATAGGATTTTGAGTTCCAAATTTTTCTCTCTCTCTCCCATTCCCCCTCCCCAAGACAGCAAGCAATCTGATATCTATATCTATATAACCTGTGTATGTGTATATATAGGTTATACATATGCAATCATGCTAAACTTATATCCATATTAGTCATGTTGTGAAAGAAGAAACAGAACAAAAGGGAAAAACCATGAAAAAAAACCCCCAAAAAGTGAAAATAATATGCTTCAATCTGCATTCAGACTCCATAGTTCTTTCTCTGGATATGGATAGCATTTTCTGTCATGAGTCTTTTGGAATTGTCTTGGACCATTGTCTTGATGAAAAGAGCTAAGTCATTCATAGTTGATCATCATATAGTGTTGCTGTTACTGTGTACAATGTTCTCCTGGTTCTGCTCACTTCACTTAGCATCAGTTCATGTAAGTGTTTCCTGGTTTTTCTGAAATCTACCTGCTCGTCATTTCTTACAGCACTATAGCATCCAATTCCATTCACATACCACAACTTGTTCAGCCATTTCCCAATTGATGGGCATTTCTTAATTTCCAATTCATAGAAACTTTTTACAGTGAGGTTCTTTTGTTGTTGCTGTTTGCTCATTTCCCCACATTATTTCTTGACTTTGGATTTTATGTTAGAGTTGGACTCTGTTCACCCTTAGGGAGGGGATGGCTAGTCTAAGTTTCTATGATTAGAACTGGGACTCTGTAGATTTTTGATGCTTCCAAGGTGGTGTGATTTGGGGAGAGTTCTGATCACTATCCTCCTGGTCTGCACTCTGGTCCCTACCTAGGTAGGGCTTCTCTTTGTTGTGACTGAAGACCATAACCATTACTCTCCACCCTGAAATTTCAATCTGGAACTGAGTAATGGGTAAAGGATCTGCCAAATGATGCTTGGTCCTGTGCCCAGTGCTACCATAGGGGTCCTCTGTAATATTTTTCTGACCAGGAGTTTAGTCCCTTTACCACTCTTGGTACCACCACCCCTGCTGCTGCTGCTGCTGCCACCACCACCTTCAGGTCCCAGAGCTTCTTCTACACATGCTTTTGGCCTACCTCCACCCCAGTGTCCATAGGCAGATCTCTCTTTCAGCCTTCCTACCAGAGTAGGAATACTCTGGTAGGAGTATCCTGGGATAGAAAAATGAGATAACATGACTTTTTTGTTGTTATCCCACTCAGAATTTGATTTGAGGCATTTTTTATAATGTTGTCTAGAAGGCTGGGTTGGGAGAACTCAATAGAAATGCTCAATTCCCTCCACCATCTTGGCTCCCCCTTCCTAACATGGTTTTTTTTTCAACTCCTCTGCTGAAGTAACATGTTTCATAAAACACTCCCATCTACTTGCAAATTTCACTGCAAATCTTTTTGGAGGAAAAACTTCAGTGAATTTAATCAACAATAGAGTTTCATATGGTCAAAGGATATGAACAAGATGGTCAAAGCATATGAAGTTCTCTGAAGAAGAAATCCAGGCTATCTATAGCCATATGAAAAAATGCTCCAGCTCACTAACAATTAGAGAAATAAAAATTAAAGTAACTTGAGGTTCTACCTTATACCCATCAGATTGGCAAAGTTGACAAAAAAGGAAAATGACAAACATTGGAGGGGCTGTGGAAAAACAGGCACACTAAATTCTCTCTTATTGTTCAGTGTATCCAACTCTTCATGACCGCATTTAGGGTTTTCTTGGCAAAGATCCTGGAGTGGTTTGCCATTTCCTTCTCCAGCTCATTTTACAGATGAGGAACTGAAGCAAACAGGGTTAAATGACTTGCCCAGGGTCACACAGCTAGTAAGTGTCTAAGGCCAGATTTAAATTCAATAAGATGCGTCTTCCTGACTCCAGGCCTGGCACTCTATCCATCGTATCACATAGCTGCCCTAAAAATTCACTCTTAGTGGAACTGTAAATTGGTCCAACTATTCTGGAAAGCGATTTGGAACTATGCCTACATAGTTTCTAAATTGTGCATATCCTTTGACCCAGTGTTACTATGACTATGCCTACACTCCAAAGAGATCAAAGAAATAGGAAAATGTCCTATATGTACAAAATAGTTACAGCAGCTTTTTTCTGTAGTGGTTAAGTACTGGAAACTAAGGGATGGGGGTTGCCCCTCAGTTGGAGAATGACTGAACAAATTATGGCACACGAATGTAATGGAATTCTATGGTACTGTAACATCTGATGAAAGAGACAATTTCAGAAAAGCCTGGGAAGACTTGTATGAACTGATGTAGAGTGAAGTGAGTGGTAGTAGAAGAACTCATATACTGACATCAGCATTGTAAAAATGAACAATTTTGAAAGAATTAAAAACCCAGATCAGCCATGATTCTAGAGGACCAAGGATGAGAACAGCTACCTGCTTCCTAACAGAAAGGTGATGGACTAATATGCAGAATGAGACAAACACTTTTGGATGTAGCCAGCGTGGGAATTTGTTTTCCTTGACTATTCTTATTTGTTACAAAAATTTTGTTTTTCTTTTCTCTTTTTTGTAGTGCTGGGGTGGGCAGGTAGGAGGGAGAAAACTTAAATGGTTGAAAATTGAAAAACAATTTAAGAAATAGTTATTCATATCTATATTGTAGGTAACTTCTCTGAAGATTCTGTTCCAAAGTTCACAGTCCTAGTGACTATCATACATGTGGGAGAGAAGAACGATGGTTCACAAAAGCTAGCATCTTAACAAAACAATCCTTTGTTTTATCGAACTTCGGGCCAGACAATGATTTCTGCTGCTAAGACCTTACAGCCAAGGCCAGAGGTTTAAGAGATTCAAAATGAACTGTCCAAGCCGCTTCAGTGAGAGGGAATTACCACGGCAACTTAAAGGGTTGGAGGGTAAAGGGTCTGAAGCCCTGGGAGGGGAAGCTAAGGACATAGGGCACGAAGGAGGGACTTGTCTTCCTAGCCATCCTATTCCTGTACTGTTGACCTATGTCAGAAACAGCCGTCTCGACTCCCTCACCTACTCCCCCTTGTCATTGTCTCCTGTTCTGTCTGCTGCATCTTCTTGGGTTAAGGGAGATGATCATGATGCCTTTTCTAGGGGAGGCAGTCGTATCAGTGGCAGTGGGATTGGTGTATGCAGAGTAGTGGAGGATCAGATTAGACTCCCTAAGGGAGGGGCTGCCCCTCCCCTGGATCAACCGTGAAGGGCTTACAGAAAAGCAACCCAGAGTACAATGAAAGTGAAGGCCAGTGGGATCCCAAGGTCCTTTGGAATCCTAGATGAGCTCCTCCCTAACCTGTCTTTACCCTTGCTCCTTTCTCAAGGTTAAGCTTATGATGTCTGCCCAGATCCTCCTCTTCCCCTTCCCCTGGCTTGCTCCACGTGCCATATTCCTACATATGGTTTTTATATCTCTCACTCCACTCCCCAAACAGCTCATATTTATATAATACTTAACATTGTTCAAAGAATTTTTCTCTCTACTTATTGGAGAGGTAGGTAGTATAAATATTATTCCCATTTTACAGATGAGGAAACTAAGGCCCAGAGAAGTAAAATGACCTGCTGATAATCACATAGTTACTATGTGATGTCGGAGCTGAGATTCAAATCCATTTCTCAGGCATTTTAAGTTTAATGTTTTTTCTACTTTTCATCACTGACTCTCAAGTATTATGCTGCCTTATAAGAAGTGATGAGAAAATCATGTATATGCTCCCTTCCCCTGTCTTTTCCAACTTTCCCAATTCATCCTTGTACTGATAGGTTGGGTCCCTAGAGGGTGCCCTACTACCACTACTACTACTACTGCTGCTGCTACTACCAGTACTACTTTTTTTTTCTTTTTGGTGAGGCAATCAGGGTTAAGTGACTTGCCCAGGGTCACACAGCTAGTAAGTGTCTGAGGCCAGATTCAGAGGGATTTACAAGTGAATTCTATCAAACATTTAAAGAACAACTAATTCCATTACTCTATAAACTATCTGGGAAAATAAGTGAAGAAGGAGTCCTACCAAATTCTTTTTATGATACAAATATGGTGCTGATACCTAAACCAGGAAGAACCAAAGCAGAG